ATAAAACAAATTATATTTTATAAATTATTAATATTATTAAATAATATTATTTACCTGTTGTAATTGTATATGTTGATGAATCATTTGTACGTCTATAATAAATTCCAAGTTTATCAAGAGCTTTTTTTGCAGCAGCTTTAATATCTGAATCGCTATTTTCCTCATCAATAAAATCTTCAACAACATTCCAAAGATAATTGTAAATAGGAATAACACGAGAAAGTGTTGGATATTTGGTATAAGAAACTTCATGTGTAGATAAGGAAAATGCCTTTTAAAATAATAATAATTAGTAATTTAAAAATATTTATTAAATTTAAATAATTACTTACATAAAGAAAATTTTTTATTTTATATATACGATCCCATTCTTCTTCAGTTAAAATAAAATTTTTTAAATCTTTATCTCCCATTGCTGTATTGTCAATAGCCTATTTAAATATTAAAAAATAAGTAATAATTAAAAATTTAATAATAAAAAAATAAAAATTAACCTGACGAAGTTCATAAGCTCGATCAATCATATCAAAAGTTGAATTCCAACGAGTTGATACATCACGAATTAATTGTAAATCTTTAAGATCAGAAGCTTGACACTGTTTACTAAATTTTTCACGACGTTGAGGTGAGGAACGGATTTTAATAATCAATTTTCGAAGCTATATAATATAAAATTATTAAATATATTTTAAATAATCTTAAATATATATTTATTAATAAAATCTTACCTTAGGAATTAAATCCAAAATTGGTATATTTGATTCGTTTAATTCAAAATCTTGTTCATCAATATTACCAGTCTTTAAAATTTTAAGTGCATCTTGAACGGCCAAATTAATAATATGAGCAATACAACGAATATGATTTTTATGTCTATTAAATTCAATATTTTCTTCTTCACAAATATTTTCAAGACAAATCATAAATGTATTATTATTTGAAGCATTATCGGTAGTACATGCAAGAATCTAAAAAATATATATATTTAATATAATAATTAAATTTAATAAAAAAAATTTAAAATTATACCTTTGTAAAAATATTAAATTCTTTACAACATTCTACAAATGCTTTGGAAAGATTTTCACCAGAATGAACTCCACAAAGTTTAATAAAATCCATAAGAGTATCATTTAATTTCCAATCTTTATCAATCCAATGAGCAGTAATTC